TCTTATGATTCGTATAAATTTCAAAGGTTTCCCCATATAAATAATGTCGCCACAGTTTTAAGGCATAGACTACTGCAGCCAGCTCCAAGTCATGGGTGGGGTAATTCCTTTCGTGTACCCTTAATTATCAGGACTCATACGCAATAACCTTCCCTTGTTGCATTAATACACAACCCAATCCAACATGAGATGCGTCGCTATACACTGCAAAACCACCTTCTCCTGACGGAATGACCAATATTGGGGTGGTAGTAAATCTGCATTTCAATTCTTGGAAACTGCTCTCACACCTCTCATCCCATTCAAACTTCATATTCTTTTTCGTCAACCTAGTAAGAGGTGCTGCGATACTTGAAAACCCTTGAACAAACCGATGGTAATACCCTGCTAACCCTAAAAAACTTCTGATCTCTGTTACAATCTTTGACCTTTCCCACTTCACCACTACCTCTACCTTCGCTGGGTCCACTGATACCCCATCTTTCGACACAATATGGCCCAAAAATGCTATCTGATCCAACCAGAACTCACATTTACTGAGCTTTGCGTACAATTTGGCATCCTGAAGCATCCCTAGCGTAGTTGCCAGATGTTTTGCATGTTCCACTGAATCCCTTGAATAAATCAATATGTCATCTATGAAGACAATGACATAACGATCCAGCAAGGGTCTGAACACTCGATTCATCAAATCCATAAATACTGCAGGAGCATTTGTTAACCCAAAAGGCATCACCAGAAATTCATAATGTCCATACCTAGTGTGGAACGCCGTCTTAGCAATGTCTTTTGCTCTAACCCGTAGCTGGTTGTACCCCGAACGCAGATCTATTTTTGAAAAGACTTGTGCCCCTTGCAACTGATCAAACAAGTTGTCAATCCTTGGTAACGGATACTTATTCTTTATTGTCACTTGATTCAGTTCCCTATAATCAATACACATTCTCATAGTCCCATCTTTTTTCTTAACAAACAACACCGAGGCTCTCCACAGTGACACACTCGGCCGAATGAATTTCTTATCCAGTAACTCTTGTAACTATTTACTTAGCTCTAGTAGTTCTGACCTCGCCATCCTATATAGAACCTTGGAGATTGGCTGGGTGCCGGGCTGGAGTTCTATGGTGAACTCGACCTCTCTATTGGGTAGCAGTCCCAGAAGGTCGTCCGGAAACACGTCCGAAAAATCTCTCACCACTGGTATCTCCTAGAGTGTAAGCCTCTTACTCTCGTTCCCTATCAAAGACATAGATAAAGTTGTAACTCATGCATATATTCTTTCTAACACATTATTTTAACGCAAAACTCATTTATCCATTGATTTTCCCCATACAGTAAAAGGTTCTTCGTTAGGGATCTTAAACACTACCCTCTTACGGAAACAGTCTATATGCGCATGTTGTGCCACCAGCCAATCCGTCCCCAATATTACATCAAAGTCTTTAATCTCTAATAAAGTTAAATCTACCTTTAATTTTCTCCCCTCTATTTCTACTCTACATGAGTTAAATATTACATCAGTACATAAAGCGCCATTAATTGGCGTAGATATTACTAATACCTGATCCAACACCTGAGCTTCCATCCCTATTCTAAACGCAAACCTAGGTGATACAAATGAATGTGTGGCACTAGGGTCACCTAGTACTCTAGCAGGAATATTTGAAATATAAACTATACCTTGTATTACTTCCGAAGTAGCGACTGCCTCTGGCACTGTTATGGCAAACACCCGTCTTTGAACCAACGGTCTACCAGGCTCTTTCGATAGAGAGGAATCCCACACGAAGTGTTGAGTGTTCCCGGACCGATAGCAGCCCCGACCACCACTCATACATGGCCAATCCCCATGGTTCTTACCGCACCACGTGCAAATCATTTACTCAGAGACACTTGATGACTTGAGGCAGAATCTTGTGCCATTCTCTGCCTCTTCTCTGTTTGGCCGGATGATGGTGGTGGTTGTCTATAACTGGAAGATCCCTTATTATTCTCAACATGTTCCTTATACAGTGCCTCTATCAACTGTGCTTTTTCCAATACCATCTGATATGTAGGTAACGCAAACATAGCCACCTGGTGATACAATTCTGACCGCAACCCCTTCTCGAACCTTCGGGCCTTCTTTGCCTCATTCATCATAACCTCGAGCGCAAACCGGCCCAAATCCATGTATCTCTTAGTATACTTCACCACAAACAATCTTCTTTGTCTAAGTTCGATAAACTCTGTTTCCTTCTGCTGCCTCAGGAAATCTGGAAAATGCTCTGCATTGAAAGCTTCTAGAAACACCTCCCAAGTGATTAGGGAGATAAGAGCTCCTCTTTTTAATTTCCACCAGCGCTTAGTGGATCCTCTTAACATGAACGTAGCCAGTTGTACCTTCTGTTCCGTGGTCATGGTTATTACTTCAAATAATTTTTCTGTCTCTTTTATCCAATCTTCCGCCACCAATGGGTCAAAACCCCCATTGAAAGCACGAGGGTTTAGCCTTCGATATTTCTCAATGTTGTTTGTATCCACTACACCTTGATGAATTCCCTGTTGTGGCATCGATGCTGTCTCTGACCGTAGTTCTCTATCTCTGATCATAATAGCCAGACTCTCAACTACCCTATAAAGCATATTAAAGTC